TAGATCGGAATAATGATAGCCAGACCCCAGTCTTTTGGAATGGAAGCGTATCATTTTGTTAACCCACCGTTTATTCTCAACTTGATCAGCTCATCAAGAAAAAGTCAATGAGATATTTTATAGTTGTAGACCAAATTTAAACAGTGTCAGAATTTGAACAAATTTAGAGCAGAACAAATTTAGACATTAGAGGACTTCAGTTCCAATCAGTCCTAGAAAATGGTAGATGGCAAGCTGCATTCCAACAATATCTGAAAAGTAGAGATGTGATATGAATATATAGGACAAATTTAGATTTGGGATGAAATCTCAATACCTCTTGTTCCACACCCAAACCAAAAATACAACATAATTTAATCAATCTAACAAGGCTGGGAGGTCACCACCTCTACTCCCCATTTCCTCCAAATCCTGCAAGCTTTGGAGGGTAGCACCTCACCCAGGGGAGAGTCCATGACACCCATGGCTGCCTGCATCCCAGGGGAGACTCTTCCATATTACACCCACGGTTGCATGCATCCCAGGAGAGAGTCTTCCATATGACACCCATGACTGCATGCATCCCAGGGGAAAGTCCTCCATGACACCCATGGTTGCATGCATCCCAGGGGAGAGTCCTCCATATGACACTCATGACTGTATGCATCCTGGGGGAGAGTCCTCCATAAGTTGACTAGTTCGAGTCTAGAAGAATTCATATCATAGCAACTTTGTGCTGAAACGCAATGAACAAAAAAAATCATCAGAAAATTAATATCTAGCAATTGAGTTGATTTTACAATACCAATTAGCTTAGAAATCAATCATAAATGGTAACCTACTAGCTGTGGACTCTCAGGAGCTCATAGTTCCTTTTCCTCTTACCAGCCTAGCACTGCAAAAGAGAGGTATGTAAAGCACTGGCAGACAACAATCTATGGCTTGTGGACACCATTTCATTGAGTGGGTTACAAGCTGTGTAATCCAAGACAGGTTTGTAAATTACTGTTCCATGAGCCCTGTACTTAACAGTACGGTTGGTCTTCTGTATCCACTGATTTTTTAATCTATGGATTCAACCATCCACAGCTTGAAAATATCTATCTATCTATCTATCTATCTATCTATCTATCTATCTATCTATCTATAAATTCCACAAACAAATCTTGATTTTGCCATTTTATAGAAGGGACAGCATTTTACTATGCCATTGTATTTAATGGGATTTGAGCATCCATGTGTATGACTGGACATGTTTTTACTTAGAGTGCTTGCAATACTGAGTGGTGGGACTACAAAAAGGCCCTGCTTTGGTACTGGAAATAGCAATACTGTTTCAGATATTTAATACTTCTCAGTAATTTCCATAAGATCATGAGATTGCAAGAGTCCTTGGACTCCTAACTTGCAGTCAATCAGATATGGACAGCCAAGCACACAGAAATGCAGAAATATGTAAGGAGCTGGGTATATTTAGCTTGGAGAAGAGAAAACAGAGAGGTGACATTGTCAACATATCCTTAAATATCTGAAGAGATGTCATGTAGGAGATGAAGCAAGCTTGTTTTCTTCTGCTCCAGAATCTAGAACATGAACCAATGGACTCAAATTACAAGAGAAAAGATGCCACCTAAACATTAGAAAGAACTTTTGTATTGTAAGAACTGTTCAACTATGGGATAGATTGTCTTAGGGTGATGGACTCTTTGCAGGTCTTTAAACAGAGACTTGGATGGGCATCTTCCATGGGTTTTTTGTGTGTTCTAGCATGGCAGGGGTTTGGCCCTGTCGGAATTCTATGAGACTTGCTTCAAGGCATGTGAATATAAGGCTACAGTCTAAATCAGGGGTAGGCAACCTTTTTAAGCCGGGGGCCGGGTTGCTGTCCCTCAGACAATTGAGGGGCCAAAGCACCAAAAACAAATAAATAAATAAATAAATAAATAAATATTAAAATTAAAAAATAATTTTAAAAAAATTTAAAAAAATGCATGCACACTCTCTCAGCCCCAGAAAAGCCATGGCAAAACCCCTGTGAAGATTTTGCCAAGAAAACCCCAAGAACAAGTAATAACAACAATAATCAATATCATCATGGGGGGGTGGCGGCAGTGGGGGGGGCGGCAGTGGCAGGACCGGTTTGGGGCCGGTCCAAAGGCCTTGCTGGGCTGTATCCGGCCCCCGGGCCTTAGGTTGCCTACCCCTGGTCTAAATGTTTGGACTTCACGGTCAGGATTTTGCATTTCCTTGTATCTGTGACAAAGGGTTAAAGATATTATTATTATTTTTTGGTCCAAAAGATGAATTGCCATATGGGAGCCTTCCTAATAGTTGTTTGACAGTAGTGGACATGGTCAGAGGCCAAACTGAATAAGTTTACCCCATTTCTCATATACAACTATTCATTCACTCACTCACTCTTGCATGCACAAGTTGTACACACACACATATATATACACACACTCCTGCAGCAGAGAAGTAGGAGAACTACAGTATGTGGAAACTAATTGAATAGCTTCCACAAGACAAAGGACACAACCAGTTTTGCCAAACTCACCACTCACTTCCTGTTCTTTGTCATCCCAGTTTCCAATAATGCTTAGCATGGGACAGCTATGGTTCTCGCTGACACTAACTGGTGCTGTTATTCTATTTTGCTGTCAGGATTTTCCTGCTCAGGAAATGGTATTGCCTAAAGTTCTCCCTTACCCATAATGCCATTTTATTCAAAGCCATCTTTTGTATTTATCACACCCTGCAGCTACTTGTTATTGAAGTCCTGGCAGTCCTAATTTTATGTGAGAGATAGAATATCAACTTCTTTTAGCCTCAAAGAACAAATATATGAGTATCTTGCTGCAGCAAAAGATTATTTTGTTCTGTAGTTTCTTGTCCCTCCAAGAAACAATTCAGTAAATCATCATAAATCTTGGACACCTCAAGAAGCCTGACATTTGTTTCCACAATAAACAGGTTCCAAAGAGATGGAAAAAGAAGGGAGGGGATGTAGCACTTTGATCCTCTTCCCCACCCCACCCCTTTCCATGTTTATTCTTGATTTAAATGTATAAAGTTTGCCCTGGAAGAGTACTTGGGGTTGAAGGCCTCCAAGTTGTAGCTGGAAAATAGTACAGCGATACTTAATAAATACACCAAGAGAGGAATATGCTATCCCCATCTCCATGTGTGGAGATTAGAACAACACTGTGAAGGGCCTTCTACACAACTAGTAATTCTGATATTCCAGATTTCCTGATCACAGAGAATCTCATCTCTGGGTCTTGCAGATTCTCTCCTTCTGAGACTTGTTCTTCGTGTGAGGAGAACTGTGATGCAAAGGATCAGCACACTCCCCTCATCATGTTCTCATTTTGACCCTTCTTGTATCGACTAATGCTTCAACCTGAATAGGACATATACCTTCAACTGATGGATACAGGGCAAATTCAGACATTATGTTTTTAGGGGGCACATTGTCTAAACTGCTTTAAAGTATACTTCTAAAAGTATGACATATGAAGATGGCAAATGTCTTTGTAAACACACACACAAATCATGCTGGTACACATGCCAGAAGTGTGGTAAATAATGGTTTCTTGAATGCACACTAGTAAAAATATTCCATTTTAATTCTGTAGAATCTGTAAAACAAAGCTAAGGGAAGCAAACACCACTCCCTCCTGTTTTCTACAAAAAGTAACTAAAGTCGTATAACAGCAACAATGAAACCTTTTAAAAAGCTAAATTAAGACCTGAGTATAAAGAGTATGTGAGAGCCAGACTGGCTTAGTGGTTTGAGTGCTGGACTGTGACTCTGAAGACCAGGGTTTGATTCCCAAATTGGCCATGGAAAGCTACTGTGTGACCTTGGGCAAGTCACATGCTCTCAGCCTCAGAGAAAGGCAATGGCAAATCTCTTCTGAACAAGTCTTGCCAAGAAAACCCCATGATAGGGTTGCTTTATGGTCACCGTAAGTCAGACATGACTTGAAAGCACACAGCAACAGCAAAGAGCACAAACTTCTGCTTTTATTGTTCCTTTATGGTTAGGGGACAAACAGGTTACTGCCCAATCACACGTGTAATAATAATAATAATAATAATAATAATAATAATAATAATAATAATAATAATAATAATAATTTATATCCCACCACTCTGCAGAGCAATCGGGGTGGCTTACAACATTAAAATTAACATAAAGATATGTTAATACAATGCAAACAGAACCTAAAAATCCCGAACTCCCCCGCCCCTTAAAAGGTAAATTTTAAAAGGTAGTCTAGGCCTGATGGTGCTGGGCCTGTTGCCTCTCCCCCAGATGACATCGGATGGAATGGAGGGAGGGCTCTTCTTCATAGTCTAGGCCCAATGGTGCTGGGCCTGGTGTCTCTCTCCCAGATGACATCAGATGGAGTGGAGGGATGTATGGAATTGTTGGGTTTCTTTTCTTTCTTTTCTTTCTTTTTTTGTTTGTTTGTTTCTGTTTTAAATGGAGGCAGCGGTAGTGATGTAAATTGCGCCCATCATTCTTCTCATCTATGTAAAAGGACAGGAAATATAATTACTGTTTTCCCTGCATATGAAGTGTGAAATAATTAAAATGTCTCATCTCACACACAAAAGAGAGCTAACCTATTCCAATCACAAATTAACTAACAAGGTGAGAAATTCCACTAGAAATTTGATGTTCTGGACATTTTTATTGCTTTATTGCTTCAGTACTTTATGTAACTTGAGCAGCTAAATGGGTGAAATTCAGTCTGTCTCTTGATGGGTTTAGCTTAACTTGTTGCTTTTGGGGGAGCATCTTAGATAATATTAAACAGATAAAGGCAGAGTAGTCCATACGTATTGACAATGAGATGTTGAAATTGTGTTGTTGTTATGCAAACAATGGATTCAAATTTGTCAACCCTAAAACAGAAGATGTCACACAGGGGAGGAGCAAATTCCATTAGTATTGTTTATCAGGAGGATACAATAAAGACAAGCTGGGATCAGTTTTCCATTTCAGCTTCTTGTGTGTTGACATCCAACCAAAAATCGTCTGATGAAGAAATGCTCTGTGTAGCTCAGGAAACTCACACACTGTGGCATGATACTAGTCCTCAGAGCAAGTTCTCTGAAGAAACTACAAATGCAGTTGCATTGTTCCATATGTCTCAGAACTTGGGAAAATTGTCTTTTTTGGACTACAGCTCTCATAGCTGGATGGTGTGTGTGTGTGAGAGAGAAAGACCTGTAGTACAAAACATTTCCAAACTCTTATTCATTCTCTTTCTGTCTCTCTCCAGTGCATATTGTAATGCCCAGCTTATTTGGATCAGCTAACACAGAGAGAAAATATAGTCTATTGTAGTGGTTAGCATGTTGGACTTCAGTGGGAGAGATGTAGGTCCCCACCCCTGATACAAGTTTAAGTTTATATTGTAGCTTTAAGACAGTCAGTGGAATAAAATTTATGACAGAGTTTAAAGCCCACCTTACAATATTATTATTGACATAGTATGTGTGGAGGTATCATATTCAACATAAGCCCCTGTATTCCTCCCTGAATTCAGTGGAGGATACAGATGTGAGGCACATTAATGTCTCATTCAATATGCAACTTTTGCTTTTTAAAGACAAATGGTAGTCATTTTAACCTTTGGATCACTGTGTAACTGAATTGTAAGATATGGTCCTACAGCTATTGTTGGAATGCAAGTCCCAGTAGACCCAGCTGGTCTAGCCAAAAAATGCTGAGAAATGCTGGGAACTGCAGTCCAACAACATCTGCAGTCCAACAACATCTGCAGCCCGGAGACATACTAATCAGCTTCGATGTGGTCTCCCTGTTCACCAAAGTCCCCATAATGGATACCATGACACTCATCCAACAAATTTTTTCAGAGGACATCACAGCCTTGTTTGAACATTGCCTCACCACAAGCTATTTCCAGTGAGACAATGGATTCTACAAACAGAGAAATGGGGTAGCAATGGGAAGCCCTCTAAGCACAGTGATCACAAACTTCTACATAGAACACTTTGAAAAACAAGCCCTGGAAACAGCACTGAAAAAGTCCACAGCTTGGTTCCGATACATGGATGACACTTTCACCATTTGGAGCC